GCTTATGTTATATTTTGTTTCTAGTTTCTCAAACGATATTAATCACACCGTATACTGGCGCCATCTATCAGACGAGCAACAGATAGCATGCTTAGTTCATTTATATCTTAAATGTTATTCGTTTGTCTGATTCACTGTGACTGTTTTTTCTGACCTGCTTTGGCCTAATATGTACTGCAAAAGGTCTTGCATTATTAGAGAATGATCCATGAAATACCTATGACCATTTTTTAATGTTTTAGGTGATTACGAACAGACAGAAAACGCTTTTATATAAGACCCAGAAGCTCAGTATTAGTTTAAAGGTAGCTTCCTACAGAAACTTGGTGGCGGTAGATTCAACAAGGGTGCAAATTTTAGAAACGTTAAAAATTTCTTAGACTTTGGTTTTTGCAATTCCAACACATGTGCTGAAAATCGTTTCAAATGTGTAGAATCCTACGCTCTATCTAAATCTGAAGTTGTTATGCGATAAAAACTAAAAGTTTTTGAGATATCTGTATATCGGGCAGATGTCAATCACAAAAACATTTACAGTTTTGAATTTTAACGCAGCGAAGCCAGACTAAGTTGCAGTTTTGATTTTATTGAGGTGGGGATGAAGAACTGTGTATTTTAGCCAATCTCTCATTTCGTTATTTCGAGTGTTTATTTCTGTTGTTTCATAACCTGACAGGCAATGAAACTGTATCTTGACACAATATTTTGGGCTGTGAACTGCTTTGCTGAGTATAAATATAGATTACATTGTTCATTTTATTACGCTCTTCTGGCCTAAATACGGATAGGTAGTACTGGAAAACCCACGATTTGTAGTAAGGCGCCATCTATCACCTTTATACTAATACGCTATTTCTTTTAGTCAATGAAAGTGTAGCTTTTTGATGATAAATACTAATTGTTTTGCAATTTTTTTCTAAGTTTGATGGCTAGAGGCCATTTTTAGCAGATAATTTCAGATACTCATAATGAAGTTGATAAATTGCTTAATTGAGTTTTTAATCAGATTTCCAAACTTAGTGCATTCATCAGGTGTTGAATTTGAAATGTTTGCGTTTTGCTCTTTTAACTAAGTGAATTAAAAAAGGTTTTTGGATAGTTAGTTTGCTAGCGTTTGGTTTTCTGTGTATTCAGTTGTCGGTAACTATAACACACGTAGGTCCTACTTGGAAACTTTTTCGGCACCTTAAAGCACTTTTTAAATTTCTTTCATCAATAATGGTCGAGAAAATAATAGAGATCAGAGGCTGTTGAACAGTTTTGGGTTCTTCTACAGATCGATCACCTTCCTAGTGGTAAGGGTCAGTAGTGGTAGGAAGATGATTAATCTGTAGAAGTACCATATAATCGAGCTGATATTATCGCTCGAATCAACGTATTAGTTAACTTTCTTCGCGCAATATGATTACGACTCGATGAAAAATTATTTTTATACTGCATATAATAACTTGGTACTTTATATCATTTATATATTATTTAAACTGTTCATGTAATTTTAGATTCAATTAAAAGCGTTTAATGCCAGTTGAAATGGAGCGAAATTCTCGAGATGAACGTGATTCATTGAAAAGTCGTTATCGTGACAATGGTAGCAGTTTTAATCGAAATGGCCCCCCACAAACGCGGGGTAGTTATCGGTGAGTAAAAAAATCCATTCGATGCATAATAATATAGCTCTCTTTTTGTTCTAGTGGTCGACTTCCCTATTCATCTTCTCATGGAAGTCATGGAGGTAGACCGATGCCACTACCCACACAATCTCAATCTTCTTCCCGCGGTGGTGATCCACGGATATCACGTGGGGGGGGTTCAAGGATGTCATCTGGTTATCGTCCAATGAGTTCGCGTGGCAACAATTCCGGTTATAATAATAACAGTTTTACATCTCAAGGACGACAATCTTCACATATACGTGGTGGAGATCCAAGAGATTCATCATCATCCTATTATGATTCACGTCCACCACCATCTCGTTATGATGTAAATAACTTGCAAAACTAAGGCTATCCTTGAGATAATATTTTTTTTCGTTTTTCGCTAATAGAGTCGTCCGACAGCACATAGTCGAACTGATTTATATCATGCAGCACAACAATCGTTACCGCCAACATCTTTACCACCATCAATCCCATCTAATCTAATGTCCATGACTCGTGAACGCTCGGGACCGTCATCCTATAGTATGAGAGAGCCAATGGAAGCAAAATACCCATCATATAGGTAGGTGTATATTTTATGAGTATCATCATATGTTAAATAATGTGTTCATTAGTAGCCGACGAAACGATGCTTCAGAATTGTATTCTCGTAACGATCCGTACTTCTCCACATCGTCAAGAGGAGACATTCCAATGCGAAGTAATAATGATCCATATTTACGTGATCTTTCATTATCGTCATCGTCAATTGCAAGAGACCCATATGTAAATTCACGTGAACAATATCGAAATGATTTATATGATGCACGTAAGTCGAAGAGAAGTTTTTTCTTTTTTTGCGTCTAAAGTAGGCTGAATTATCATGTGACTGCATTATAACATGACCATATAACGAAGTTGTACATGTCAAAGAAATCTAAAACACTCCTTCAAAAATGGAATAACAATATCGAGATATAAAAATACGAGAAAACACTATCGAACAAAAAAAATATTCATCACATTTGAAAAATACAAATGCAAAACATCACCGCTATATCAGAATCAACCGTCATATCATTTAAGAAGATGCAAGTACAGCTCAGAATTTTTAGTAAGTCAACCCTCTTCCCGATCACTATGCGAACAATTTCGTCAACGTTCCCGATCTGGTGCTTGTCAACATTGTAACGAAGTGCCCAATTGAACACAGGACAATAAGAAACAAATATGGAGATTTTGGTAACAGAACCAAAGATTGACGCTGAAACGCTCGCTACATAGCAGACACCAAACTATTCAAACTGTCCAGTTCAAAATATCGATTCATTATTTTCTGAGAACTTCCAAAAGTCGAACAAAAATTTACTCAACCTGAGTATCCTAGAAAAATTTTGCTCAATTCTAAAGACATTAATTACGTGCTAACCAATGAGCAATTCAATACACCTTTTAAAAGTAACGATCATCCTCAGAATACCAAAAGAGTACTTTTAGACAGTTAATTACTTGTCGGCTATAAAGCCTTACTGATGCGGTATCATTCGAAGAAACACAGTCCATTAAATCTAAAATTGCTCATATATTCAGGACAGTATCACAGCTTATCTCTAATTCAGTTTATATTTAATATATGCTATCAGCTCGAACACAATTATCGATTAGTTGGAGAATCGCTATGAAATGGAGAATAGATACTTCAAGTTTTTGAATCGACTCTTCATTATCAGTATTTTCTACTGTATGTTTGTCGAAACTATACACTGTTTAGAAACGAATTCATCATTCATATAATTTAGTTCAGAAGAGAAGATACTTGATGCTTTAAGTGAAATATAGTGATGAACAAACTATTTAAATATATACCTTCGTTTTCTTTTTTCATATGACATAATTCAGATAGTATAATAATTTTGTCTACCATTTGACTTCAATTACCTACTATATGAGTGCTTTGAAGAGGAACGAGGCGTGTCTATATGAATTTTGCTCTTCTCACCAAGAATCGATGTCTTATATCCATATATCTTCACCATCGTTCCATGTCGTACGCCTGAAATTTCATAGGCATCATTCATTCAATACAAAACGAAAATATCCGCTTCGTGTGTTAAAAAACAACTCAACTTATTAGCTAAGCAAATCAAGGAGATTGATATTAAAATGATTCTAGTTTTGAATTCAAGAAAATTATTTAATGGAATATTGTCTATTAATTACTTGTCATACAAATTGAATCGAATGAATTGAAAACATTTTCCAGTTATATATGGTGCTAGTTTTGAGTCATAAACGAAATCATCTGAAGATGTAAACAAATATCAAAATTATCATTATAATTCAACTATAAAACTAAAGTTCTAAATTTTTATTTGATCATGATATTAAATAGAATAATCTATTCAATAGAACATCTTTTGAAATAACGATATGGTGTTTTTCATTTCGAAGAAATCAAAATAATATATACGTCTGTATTGATCGTTTTTAAAATCCTGTGTACAAAGGAAAAAAAAGCCCGAGTCCCTTTTACTATGTTGTTATCATTCCTTCTTATAGCTCCGTCACGAAATACTCATTCAATGTACGCTGGTTCACGTGGTCACGAATATCATCCATCACAACAATCGGGAAGAGAACTTTATCCACAATCATCATCGTCATACGGAATGTCTAGTCGCGATATGCGCACTAATGATCCAAGAGAAAGAGACATGGGCTATCGCATGCCGCCACGTGGTGATATATTACCAAATCGTTCAATAGAATCTATGTCAACATCTGGTAGATCGAATGATTATCGTCCAACAAGTGGAGGAGGACCAGTGTCAACAACACGTGGTACTAATGAGCGGCAAAGTTTGAAACGTCCAGCACCCCGAGACGATAGGCCACCAATCGGTCAACCATCATCAAAACGTCCGTTAAGACGGTGAAATTAAGAAAATATCGAAACGATAATGCGCAATTTGAAACTTATGAATGACTCTCTCTTTATCGATACTGATGCGTGTGTGTACGTGTTTGTGTGTATTTCTTTTTTGCCGTTACACTGTTTGATTTTGAAAATGAAATGAGCATACTGAACACTCTTGTATAATTCAGAGATAAACAAAAGTTCAAGTCAAACTCTGGTACGTTCGGAAATTGGACTCTGAAATAACCAAACTTGTTCATCTCTCCCGTTGAAGATAAAACATGGAAAATTTTTTAATTCCTTCAATATGGTAATTCAAAAGTTTTATTTTGTGTAGCAAATAAAAACGAATCTTTAACTGTAAAAGTAAAAGTTGATTATTTTGTCAAAATTATTTTTGGTTGCTTTATAATCATAATGGGGTAATAATATATTTTTTTGACTCAATTTTGTTTATGGTTAAAAAATCGAGCTTTCGAAAAAAATTTTTAAGCATAATCATATTAGAAGAATTGAAAATTGTTTGATAAATAAGAAAAAGACTAGTAAGGTTTTCGAAAAGTGTACACCGGTGTTATTGAAAATGAGAATATTTTTCATGTAATTGTTTATAAAGTGCGAGATGGATGAATTGAGTAAAATCTACATTAAATATCTGTATATTTTCGTTATACTCTTCTGACTCTTTCTTGAGATTTTTTTGATGTTAACGAAAAGAAGTAACATATTTCATTTTTATTTGTTTGTATTGTATGAGTAATGTGCATCCTAGGTTTTAAAGATCATTTGTCATATCGACTATTCATACTGTAAAAAATCTGTTTACATATTTGTAATTACTTATAACCTCTTACTTGTTGTTTAGCTGTTTATTTGTTTTCTCTTCAAATTTTATTGTTTTTTAAATCAATGACAAGTCATATGGACAGTCACACGCATACACACACACACACACATACGCATATTTAGCCATTGAAATCAAGATTTTTTTGTAACAATAAAAGCACATGAAAAAATCTCCGAATCAATTACATACCAGTCATAGTATGCGGAATATGGTCGTGACTGCTCGTTCGTTTGCTGGAAAAATCTACACAAAAGTTAGCATAGTAAAGTTTTGTGTCTAGTTAAACATCTTGGTAATATGTTTTGTATTCATTTCAAAAGCGATAACAATCCTTACAGTTAATCATTTCTAACGAGGAAGATCAGTTAAACAATCGATTATTCAGTAAAATTAAAGGATCACAATAACCACTAAAAAAAACACAAAATTTTATACACATCAAGTTAAAAATATTTTACTTCTTAAAGAAACGTTTTTTTCCAAGAGATACAAATCGATTCATTTACGATTTTCTCTTAATAATACGTTCATATATCCAAGTAAAGATTGTCATTTAACGACATTTGACGTTATAATAAATTACCAAACCTATATTTTGCATTCTATATTCGAGTTTTCAAACTTATGAATGCCCAAGAAGAGATAAATTATGGTTTTCAAATATTTAATTGAAAACGTTTGAGCGTAAGGGTCAACGCATCATGCAGTCAGAATGACAATCTAGAAAATTTTTGAATTGCTATTGGAAATCGTGAAATATTGAGCTTTATGCTAGTGGATAGACAAGTTGGATAAAGTATTTACTTGAACATTGAAATGTGATAAGGAAAAGGATGAACTGAACTACAGAAAAAGATTTTAAGGGAACTAAATCAATATCGTATTTATTTCGTAACCAAATCCTTTATTTCTCATTATCGAATTTAAATTTTTCTCTTCGAAAGTATTGGTCTGGTTATGTAAGATTGAGATGAGTTTATTTATATTGAAAAACACCAGTTTAAAATCAACTACGTATATACATTGATAATGGATATTATATCATATTTGTCATTATTTTGAATATATTCCATTCACTACAATCGTACTAATAAAATCATCTAAATATATTGTTATTCAGTTCAAAGATGTTTTCTCGTTCTAAATTCTGATGATGGTTAATTAACAAGATAAACGATACATCACATCTAAACTGATGAACAAATTCATCCATTTAATTGTTCAATAATATTGACAAAATGATGGTAGATTTAATTATTGAGAACCGAAATGTCAACACAAATACACCATAAATTTACAAAGCAAGTTATCAAATTAATAAATACTTTATGTTCTTTTTTTTTGTATATAAACACTTTGCAGAGATACTATTTCTCAACAATAGATGAAGAAAAACAAATTATTCGTGGATATTCATTGACATAATAAACAAACATCAGTTACCTATTTGATGTAACAGATACAATAATGACAAAATGACGTTATTAAATATCGAACATTATCAACCAATCTGAGTATTCTTCATACGATAAAGGTAAGACGTATAAATTCTATTTCTGTTTTAATTTTAGAAGAAAAAAACGTTAAATTGGAAAAAAATGGGGTTATCTCGTCTACCCATGAAATATAATTCAGAAGAAATAAATTCCAACAGACAACACATTTTTCTCTAAACTCGAAATCATAAAATATCGTCTAGACAAATACAAGACAAAACAAA